TAGCAATATTTGTGTTGAGCCAGAATTTATTTATTTATCTATCTATTTATTATTTTTTAAAGATTTATTTATTATGCATACAGTGTTCTGTCTGCATGTATGCCTGCAGGCCAGAAGAGGGCACCAGATCTCATTACAGGTGGTTGTGAGCCACCACGTGGTTGCTGGGAGTTGAACTCAGAACGCCTGGAAGAGCAGTCAGCGTTCTTAACCTCTGAGCCACCTCTCCAGCCCCGAGCCAGAATTTCTAAGGGAGGAAAAATGACAGCAAACTAAATTCAGTGCTTGTGAGACTCTGAAAGCCTTTAAATACTGAGAAAAGTTTAGTGACATAAAAGATAGAGTGGTTTAGGATAAAAAGTACTAAGCTTCGCCCCCACCCATCGCCACATGGCATGGGGTAGGGCGGAAGACACCTGAGACACCCCCCCAGCTCATCGCCACCCCTCCGCTGCCATGCATCTTAGAAGGGGCTGAGGACACTGGAAAGTCGCGCCCCCATTCCCCGCCCCCCACCCCCACCCCCCATCCCCAGGCAGGTCAGGCACCTTTAGGATGACCAAGCACGTGGTGGAGAGAAGGAGAAAAAGAGAAGAGGTTCTACCTTATGGCCTGCACGGCCCCCTGAGGCCATAAGGATGTCCTGGGAAAGGTGGCCTGGCCCCCTGCCTGGGCAGCCCGGAGAGAAGGCTCCTGCGGTAAGGGTGCTGGAGAACCGCCCCCTGCCCTTGCTTGCTGGGGTGTTGTGGAAGAGCCCTCCCTGCCCGTCCTGCGCTGTAGCACTAGGGAGAGTAGCCTGCCCCTTGCCTGGGCAGCTCCCTTGAGCTGCCCAAGTGGTGTGGGGCAGTAGAACCGCCCCGAGGGTGGGAGAGAGGACGAGCTGGCCCTTTCCTGGTCAGCCGCTCCACTTGGGTGACCTGGCCTCGCCCCTTTCTGAGGCAGCACAGGAGAGCTGGCCCTGGTGGTGTGGGTGAGGGAGAGCAGGCCTGGATGGCGTGAGCGCCAGTGAGCCAGCCCTGCCCCTTGCTGGCTGCCATAGGTGGGAAATCTGTCTCCACCTCTCACCTGGGTAAAGCGGACAAGCTGTCCTTAGTGGCGGTGCCTGAGCAAGAGAGCAGCGGGTTGACCAACCAGCATCCACCCAAGCCCAGATCCGGGGCTGTGAGTTGGCCCACCCCACCGTCTACCTCATCTATGAACCGCTGGAGCGCAGACCCAATGCTGCAGGGTCCCCATGACCCAGAGCAACAACGGGATATCCTAGAGGAGTCCCAGTGAGGATCCAGAATTGATAGTGTATCAGAAACCTGAGGCCTCTAACCAGACCAGTGACTCATTACAGTGAACATTTGCAAGGAAAGCTGTTTGCACACACACACACACACACACACACACACACACACACACACACGCGCGCGCGCGCACGCACGCACACGCACACACACGCGCACACACGCACGCGGCTGTAGGTACCAATCAGGGCAATGAGAGATAGGCCTGGCTTCAAAGAGCCTGCTGGAGGCTGGGAGGTGCAAGGGCAGCTCATGGAGGGTGACTGGATTGTGGAGTGCTACGGAAGTGCCTCCCCCACCCCACTGTACACAGCATCGCCCTGTTGAAGGAGCAATTGCTACAGGTGACAGAGTGTTTACACGCGGTGTTGGACCCTGCCAGCATTTCTCTTTAGTGTCTGCTCAGCGGGTCACTTCTGAGACCAAGTGACATTTCTTTGGTACAGTGGGTTGCGGGACTTCATAACCCTGCACACACTTTGTAAACTTGTTTCATTTCCTCGATAATAGGCAGCTAACCTCTGAGGTGGCTATTTATTTATTTATTTATTTATTTATTTATTTATTTATTTTTACAGAATTAGAAAAGAATCTGCAGGGCGTGTACAAGACCAGAAGGAGCAAGGCTAGGGAATCGGCTCATATGGTCGTTCAGGGCACCTGTGAGATTCTGGGGACTTTATAGTTTGGGAAGGCATGAAAGGCACACAACAAGAAGAATGAGAGATACCCTCTAACAGCTGACTCCTGCCAACATTAAAACTACAGCTGAAAGGTGTTAGCGGAAGCGCCTTGTGCACACTGAAAAAGATGCCACTGGAAACCTTAAGGTTACTACATGGAAATCCCAAAGCTGGGTTCGTGTAACTCTATAGGAGTCGTTGGCCAGGGAGGTCCCAGGGCCTCCTAACGATGCTGGCTGTTATCACTGCTGTTGCTTGTGAGCCATGGATCCCGTGTGCTGTATGTCAGTCATGGATCCCGTGTGCTGTATGTCAGCCATGGATCCCGTGTGCTGTATGTCAGTCATGGATCCCGTGTGCTCTATGTCAGTCATGGATCCCGTGTGCTCTATGTCAGTCATGGATCCCGTGTGCTTTATGTCAGCCATGGACCCCGTGTGCTCTATGTCAGCCATGGATCCCGTGTGCTGTATGTCAGTCATGGACCCCGTGTGCTGTATGTCAGTCATGGATCCCGTGTGCTGTATGTCAGTCATGGATCCCGTGTGCTCTATGTCAGTCATGGATCCCGTGTGCTGTATGTCAGCCATGGACCCCGTGTGCTCTATGTCAGTCATGGATCCCGTGTGCTCTATGTCAGTCATGGACCCCGTGTGCTGTATGTCAGTCATGGACCCCGTGTGCTGTATGTCAGTCATGGATCCCGTGTGCTGTATGTCAGTCATGGATCCCGTGTGCTCTATGTCAGTCATGGATCCCGTGTGCTGTATGTCAGTCATGGACCCCGTGTGCTGTATGTCAGCCATGGACCCCGTGTGCTCTATGTCAGTCATGGATCCCGTGTGCTCTATGTCAGTCATGGATCCCGTGTGCTGTATGTCAGTCATGGATCCCGTGTGCTGTATGTCAGTCATGGATCCCGTGTGCTATATGCTACCAGTTGACTGTTTCAGTAGTGACATGATTTTTATGTAGCCAGCTGTTTTCTGGTTAGACTTAAGGCCTACTCTACACTAGGGAAGTCACATCTGGATGGAGGTTATACGATCAAGTGGGGGAGCTATTGCTGCTGCTTTGCTTACTGAATATAACCATCAAATTGCCTTCTAATTAATATTTATGCTTCTGTCCATAGATGAGCGTTGCCATCATCTCTAGACGGAGAAGCTTCTTTTTATGAAGGGTAGCAGTTACTGTAGAGACTTGTAAGTCATCAGAGTCCTGAGAGTGGGCGGCTGTTGAGTGCTCAGCCTTAAATGGGACATCTGTATCATTTCCAAGGCTCGGGGAACACCAGGGAAGAGGGGGTAGCAGGAATGGGAACTGGACAAGGGTGGAACGCTGTGGAGCACCGCCTTCTAGGTATGGCATGACCATTGTGTCAGCAGCTGCTTGTCTAATGGGGACCTACTCAAGATTGAACCTATTAACTTCCCATCTCAAAGGGGCAGGGGGAGAGCTCATAAGGCCATGCTCCAAGATTTACAGGCAGTTAATAGTTGTGGGGAAGGGAGGTATTTCTATCTTCTTGGGTGGTGTAGCTGTCCATAAGTTACCCATGATTCTGTATGTAACCCTGACTAAACTCATTGTTGCCCAAGTTTGACTTGAGTGGGATCATCTCTTTGGTCTGTTGTTGGCACCCCATCTGGGTAACCAGATGTTTGTCTCCTTACTGCCCCCCCCCCCCCGGCAATTTACCAAACATGGGCCCAGCCGCAAAGGGCCACACGCTGGTGAGGAACATCTCTGGCCACTGTTTAGTGTGAGGCTCAGGCTGCACACAATGCATTCTGTGTACCAGGTACTTTCCTGATGATTTAGCAGCCATGAAGCTCATCTGCTCTCCACAGTGGCCTGTTGCTACTGCAGGTGTGAGCCACACTTCAGTCTGAGGAGGCTGAGGCATTGGGGGGGGGGGCGACTGTGCCCAGCACCGCAGAGAAGCTAACAGCAGAGTCAAGAACTGACAGTTTATGCTCCTCCTGGCCATGTGTTCTAGGCCATGCATGGTGAATTTCCTCTGGGCAGGTGAGTTCTAAGAGACCTCTGCTCAATGACCCAGACAAAGGTGGCTTGAGCCACTGGGACAGCTGCTCCTGCTCTGGTTACCTGGCAAAGCTGAGTCACCAGGTGCAATCTCAAACTCAGAACACCCCAAGGCTCCAGGAAGCAGTCTAAATCGTTGTCACAGATCCCATCAGGCTTTTGATCTAGGCAAACTCTTCCATCCTTTGTGGTTGGCCTGAAATTAAAGCCAGCTTCCATGCTATATGGAGAGCTGGCGATACCCAGGCCAGAACAGGTCTGTCTCTCTAGAGCCGTAGGGTCTGGAAACCACACCTTCTGGTGCCAGCTTGCAGAGTAACCCTCTCCAGAGCCTCTAGAGTTCCTTGTTATGCAGGAATGGGATGTCCCTGGAAACCAGACGATGCAGGATGCTGGGTGCCTGAAACCCCAGTGGTCAGGAAGCTCTAGGTTAGAGTCTCTCTCACCAGTTCAAGGCCAACCTAGGCTACACTGTAATGCCCTATCTCAGAAAACAAAAACAGCTTTTTCTTTTTCAAAATACAAGACAAGAATAAGACAGGTGTGGCGGTGAGCCTAGTGCAAGCATGGGCAACTTTCCTAACAGGGATGTGCCCAGTAACGGATGACCTGGGGCTTGTTCTTGCTCCCATGCTTGGCTTAGCATGAATGTTAGCTAACTCCTGTCAACCTAGTTGATCCACAACACTTTAGAGGTTTGTAGCAGACACACACACATTTCTGCCAGAGCCCTAACGGTGTGGAGCAGGAAACCAACACATGGCTTGATAGTCATGAGTTGCAGGCGGGTGGCCACAGAGGACTAGTGACACCAGTTCTCAGAGAGGCTTCAGCATCCCCTCGCCCCAGGGACTCATGCTGGCTGGAAAGGGAAGGGAAACTGTATTCAGCTGTCCCAGGTTGTTGCCCCAGAAGACGGACAGCTCCATCACACCCAGGACTGAGGGACAGGCAGGAGCCAGTGAGAACACGGTACTCACTTCTGATGGCTGTGCTATATTTTAAGGCAAGTGTCACACATACACAAAACATCAAGAGATGAACAATGTTAGAAAGACAGCAAGGAGACATTTCAGACGGCTGCAGTGGGATCTTCCTCGTTACCCAACTCCGTCAACTCCTCCCGGAGCCAGAGCTCAGGGAGGCATGGCACTGGCCCCTCTTGTCCTCCAAGAGGACGGTGCAAGTTGGTCACAAAGAAGAACCTCCTCCAGACCATGGCAGCACTACTTACTGAGGGTCCAGTTTGGGACCCGAGTGTCTAACCAGTTCGCCGTCCAGGTCCAATCCCTGCGTAATAAGGTTCTTTAGAAACAGGAATATCGGGATGTCAACAACATAATATGTAGTTTAGTTTTCTATTACCCAAACTCAAACTTGCTTGGAGTTAAAACACACACACACACACACACACACACACACACACACACACACACACACACACACCCCATACATAAAATATATGTAAATACTTGAGGAAAAGATTCACTGAAACTTAAAAAATACCAAATGCTCATTCGTAATCAGCCCGTGGGACTGATATCCCATTAAAAACAGTGTTGGCAACAAGGTCTGGCCACTCTCTCCCTGGTATGTGGTCACTGCTGGCCCCACAGCAGAGTGGAGTGGCTCTGCTGGTTTAAAGAGCTGAGCCTTCACACTTTGGGCTCTGTTCCTCCTGGAAACGTCCCCAGCCCCTCACGGCCTGTCCCGAGTACGTGGGGCAGTACACACACCAGGGAAAGCAAGAGGACGGGGACCAATGGCTCAGGGGCTCAGTCTCCTGTTATAGGTGGGACTGTCACAATGGGTAGAGGGTGGGTAGCACCCCAGGGACGAGGCTGCATGGAATGTCACCCGACTCTTCAGAACGCAAGCTCTGAAGTGTGATGAGAACACAGTCCTGTTCAGGACAGCCACTCCTACCAACCAGCAGGCAGCCTCCACGGAGAAAGCTGTCTCCTGGGTACACTGGGCGCTTACAGATATTTGACTTGACTTTTTTGTTTGTTTGTTTGTTTGTTTTTCGAGACAGGGTTTCTCTGTAGTTTTGGAGGCTGTCCTGGAACTCACTCTTGTAGACCAGGCTGGTCTCGAACTCACAAAGATCCTCCTGCCTCTGCCTCCCGAGTTCTGGGATTAAAGGCGTGCGCCACACAGCCTGGCTGAATTTGACTTTCAAGAAGCAAAATGGTAGTTTCCACAGATTTACAGCTTGCCTTACCAGATCGCAATGAAGTAGGTAAGAGGCAGGTAGCATCAGACTCGGGAGATTTACCACAGGCCAGACACTTTGGGAACCGAAGCCAGGGCCTGTGCACAGAGCCCCCCCCCTCAGTTAGTGCACGCGTTCATTGGGGGAGTATATTATTTCGTTGCTCTGCAGTGCTTTAGGGAGGACCTAGTCAAACTGTAGTAATACACTGACCAGTCAATATGGGTCAGCAATGCAATGACTGCCCCCGCCCCCCAAGAGAAAGACATCTTAGGGCCTGTTGCCAAATCAGAATGGAAACAGACAGGAAGTGCTGACAGAGGCTCCAGCCTCGGAAGGAGGCAGAAGAGTGCCTTGGGTCTCGGATGGGAACAATCCCGTCTTGTCCTAATTAGGATGCTCCCTCATCTCTCCCCAACCTCAGAACTGGAAGGGGCTTGCTCAAGCTGGGACCCCAGCTGTGCTTACCCCCACCTGGAGTAAATCTTACTTGACACCCGGGCAGCACCTCCGGTCCCTTGGAAGTCACCCAGACAGGTGGAGTACAATTCCTTAACATGAGTGCTGGCTCATCAGATTCCAGCCCAGTCTAAGAATCTGGGGGCTTCTTCAATGCCTACTGTTGATGAGACAGTGTGAGTGACAATTATAAACCGCTCTGGTTTGCCCAGAAAGCACCAGACGCAGCGTTAGCTGGGGACAACGAAGAATACATCCGCATTCCCCTGACCTTTACCCCCAGGCCTCCAAGACCCTGGAATCCCCCCAGGCCTGGCAGCTCAGGGGTGGGGGTGCTTCCAAATAGATTGAAGATGTATCTACAGCTCCACTTAGGTCAAGACAAATGTCAGAGTGTTTTGTCCTCAGTCATCAGTCCTGGCCCAGGAGCCCAGTGCCTGTTCTGAGGGATCACCTCAAATTGGTGACTGGGCCAGAGCATTGCTTGGGAGACGAAAAGTCTCTGAGGGCCACGCCCATGTCTAAATGATGCGGTAGGCTACCAGGGTGGGTTGCTGGTAACTAGGAGGCTGGCCCGACACCCAGCCCCATCACAGCACCGACTCCTTGGATTCCAGTTCTGGAGCGACGGCCACAGCGCCTGCCTGGTTCTGGTGTGTCACCAGGGGCGACGTCTCCTCCTCAGATTTGCAATTGGGAAGGGCTTCCACCTTCACTTCCTGCAGCTCCTGCGCGCCCTTCTTCAGGGCCTTCTGATTCAGGTGGTTGAGGATGCCGGCCCCCAGGGCATCCCCTTCCACGTTCACCACAGTGGTCGTCCGGTCCCTGGTGGAGACAGGAAAGGAAGATGGCTGGTGTTAGACCCAGAGTCCCCATCACAAGCAGGCCGGTGGCCACAGGGACACTCATTGTCTTGTAGGGAATGAACGAAGTCCTGAGTGAATGCGTGTTGTCTTACATGGGCATGGCTACATCAAGGACACCAGTGACTCAGACCATGGGAATGGGAAAGCCTTCCCCACGTGAGGCCTCAGAAAGGCTGGCAAAGTCTTCCCCTGGTCCATGTGAGGGTGTTGACAGTATGTACAGAAAATATACACTGTACCTATCTCTCTGTCTCTCTCTCTTTCTCTGTCTCTCTCTCTCTCTCTCTCTCACACACACACACACACACTGTAGTGTAATACCCCCAACACTCCCATATATACACACTCATGGCCTGGCGTCTGTTCTTGTAGACTGTTCCTACTGAGATTAGTTAAACTTGCCTCCTTTCCAGCTCTGAGCCATGAACTCTGCGGCCTGATTCAGCAGTCTGCAACAACCTTGCCTCCCCGGTCAGCTGAATCTAACTGACAGCGCTGACTTCCTGGGTGTGTGGCTTCTCCACCCCAGCCTTTGCTGTGCCTGTCTGTCTGTCCTTTCTCCGTTTCCTCAGTGCCCTCATCAGGACACTCCTGGAGCCCTGCTGGAGGCTCACACTAACAGATCTGCTCTACATCGCCTTTCTTTGGGCAGTATCTGGGAAAGTAACAGATTCTTGCTGTAGAAAAAAAAAAATCGGAAAAAGAGAAGCTGAGGGCAGCAGACAAGTCGCTTGTGCGTATTACTCCACAGCTCTGGGAGTCGATCTGAGCAACGCAATCTAGTTGCTCCCAGCCATCTTCCCACACGGTCGTTACAGGTCACCCGGACCCCGCTACCGAGAACTCTGCTTGCATTTGGGAGAAGAGAGCAGACACGACTCTGTGCTGAGTTCTTCCCCACAGTGTTACAGAACACTAGAATGTCAATCCCGCTGCAACCCTTGGTGCCAGCAGTGTGTGCATTCCACAGCTGTGGGCAAGCGGTTCGTAGAAAACAACCCCGGCTTTCCCGCAGCCTACTTTGCACGTGTTAGCTCGACATCTACTCCAGTCAGGCCATCCTGACAACGGTGATCCTCCCCAAGGCACTGGAGGGCTGGCCCCGACTGCGCGTGGCTTGTGAACCCACAGGCCTCTGCGGGGCATCCAGCAGGTGCTACTTCCCTCCTCAGGTGAGCAGCTCTGACATACATTCCCCAGGCGCGGGAGGCAGCTGGAAGGACACGACCCCTACCATCGCTCTGCTCTTGCCCAGCCCAGGGGTGTCGCTTCCTCTGATGAGGTGTGTGGAACACAGGAGTCTCTATGGGACATTTCGCCCCATTTCTGTGAAGAGCCCTCAGAACTCAGCAGTGCTATTTTGAGTTGGAAAGATTACCATTTCCAAGCACCATTGCAGACCGAGTGCCAGGTACCTGAAATTAGCTTCTCTCAGGCTGGCTGTGGCCAGCCCAGCAGGACTGTCCTCCTCACTGGCATTTTCTGAATGCTGTCCCACCGGCCCCACTGGACACACGCTTGCTGATTTTAGCCCTCACCATGACTGGTGTGTCTTCTATTGTAATTACAAGAGCAGGTACGCAGAAAGGCCTGGGCTCAAGGCCTCAGCTTACCCTTGATCCTGTCTTTCAGTAACACCACCTTAGTCAACCTTTCTATAGAACAGGAGGTTTATACCTGCCAAAGGTGTCACAAGGCTCAAGCCATCAATATCCAGACACTCTGTCTGTAAGGAGCCCCGGGGTCAGCAGATTGGCCTTCTGCTTACCTAGCATCTCCTGAGTGCAAGCACAACGTGCTTTTGCATGCTCTCCTGGCATAGAAACCATTCCTTGGATATCTGCAGGCCAGGGCCAACCACTCCTCCGATCACTATGACTCCACTCTGCTATCACCTGCACAGCCCATGGCACCTACAGAATACTGCAAGCAAGTTCTGAATGGTCACGTCAAATGCCACTCATGGATGTTTACGGGCTCTTAACTATTATACTGTTGACTTCTTCTTCTTCTTCCTCTTCCCCTTCCTCCTCCTCCTCCTCCTCTTCTTCGTCTTCTTCTTCTTTGTCTTACCCTTCTTCCTTCTCCTCCTCCTCCTCCTCCTCCTCCTTCTTTTGAGACAGGGTTTCTCTGTGTAGCTTTGGAGCCTGTCCTGGAACTCGCTCTGTAATCTAGGTTGGCCTCGAACTCACAGCGATTTGCCTGTTTGTGCCTCCCAAGTGCTGGGATTAAAGACGTGTGCCACCAGCTCCTAGCAACTGCTGACTTCTTATAGTTCTAAATCTGGTTTTGCCAGCTTAACTATAGACTCTGTCCAAAACAGGGATGGTGCCTAAAGTGGGTGTGGTTAGCGGTGTGGTAAACTGCCCTTTTATTACCTCATCTGTATGCGCCTCTAATAAGTCACATGTTTAATGGCGGCATCAGACTTCCTCCTACAGGATGGTTTTAAGCTTCTGCGTGCTATAGGCCCAGTGAAGCATCAAGTACCCAGAGGCCTCGATAGACTTTTTTTTTTTATTCCCGGATCCTTGGTATCAGCTACTTACACAATCCAGTCCACAGCCAGGATCAGAGAGAGGTAATCTGTGGACAATCCAATGGCCTCTAGGATAATGGCAATGGTGAGGACTCCCCCAGCTGGCACACCTGCCGCTCCAACACTGGATGCCGTGGCAGTCACTCTAGGGTACAGAAAAGCAAAGTCATGAACACAGAGCGTGGAGGGGGCCCAGAGAATGACACAGCATTGCAGCCAGGACTTGTAACTAACAACCACACACTCTAGGTCAGTGGTTCTCAACCTTCCTAACGCTGTGACCCTTTGACACAGTTTCTCATGCTGTGGTGACCTCCAACTATAAAATTATTTTCGTTATTACTTCATAACTGTAATTTTGTCAGTGCCATGAATCATAATGTAAGTATCTGACATGCAGAATACTGGATAAGTGACTCCTGAGAAAGGGTCATTTGCGACCCACAGGTTAAAAACCACTGCTCTAGGCCTTAAAGAGACGATACATTTTTTCAAGTACACTCAGACCTCACATCTCGTGTTCACAAATTAAACCAAGCACAGATCAAAAACAGTGAAAACAAACTGCTGCTATTCAACATCTATAGATCATTTTCATTTTCTTCTTCTTCTTTTTGGTTTTTTCTTCCAGACAGCAGTCCTCTGTATTGTTTTGGAGGCTGTCCTGGAACTCACTCTGTAGACCAGGCTGGCCTCGAACTCACAGAGATCCGCCTGCCTCTGCCTCCCGAGTGCTGGGATTAAAGGCGTGCACCACCAACACCCGGCTGATTATTTTCTTATTTTCTTAATGATACACTATTAACAACCACTCATATAGCGCTTACATCATATTGAATATGTAAGTCATCTAGAAATTATGTGAAGTATAGAGGAAAACATGTACAAATTATAGACAAGACACTAGTGATATGGTCTGAACCTGAGATGTCCCCTACACGCTCATGTTTTAACACTTGTTTCCCAGCTGGTGGCTGTACTTTGAAGGTTGTGGAATCTTTGGGAGGTGGGGCTTGGCTGGCCAAAGTAGTTAACTAGGAATCAGCCTCAAAGGTTATACCTGCCCCCTGTGCTGACCTATATCCTGCCTGTCTGTCCGTCACCATGTAAACAAGTCCACCTCTACCACAACGGACTAAAATCTCTCTAAACCACGCCTTTTAAGTTTTAAGTGTCTTAAGTTATTTTTGACAAATATTTTTGTATAGCAATGCAAAAACCAACCACCACCACTACCCATTCTCTGTGGGGAAAAGGAGGTCCTGTGGCCAACACTCCTATGAGAGATGGTTTGGATGGTCAGTTTGCTTGGGTTGGGAGATGCCTAGAGCCTTAGTGAGGCACACTTCTGGGGGTGTTTGTGGGGACATTTATAGAAAGGGTTAACTGGGATGGGAAGGCTCATCCTAAAGTCGGGGAGCACCATCCGTAGACTGCATAAAAAAGGAAAGATGAAAATGCCAGCTGAATGGCAGTGATGGGGGAAGTCCTTCTGTGTGTACGCTGATAAGTAAATCACTGCTGGCCAATAGGGAAGCAAGATAGGCGGGACTAGGAGTCGAGGAGGATTCTGGGAAATGTAGTCAAGGGTGGAGAGTCGCCCTGTGATCCCCAGAGAGAACACAAGTCTGGCATTCTCAGTAAGATAAGACCTTATAGAAATATACTTATCAGTAGTCATGGGTTAATACCTGAGACAGAACTAGCCAATGATAAGCCCTGGACATTGACGGATAGCGCTGTAACTAATAGACGCTCCGTGTCTAGGGGACCCAGGCGGGAATCCCGGAGCACGGCAGCACACATCTCTCCCCATGTCCCTATTCAACCAGATGCGAGCAAACAGCCCCGCGCTCAGGCTTCCGGAGCGTCCCACAACAACAGACTGTCTTCCTTCAAACCATAAGCTGAAATGCAGCTTCCCTCCCTGAGGGTGCTTCCTGCTGGGCACTCTGTCCCAGCAGCAAGAAAACTAGTAATGAGGGATGACGGTGATGGGATTTTCTGCTGTCTTACAAAAGACATAGTGAATAATGGTGAGGTTGGTTTTCCATAGGAAATCACAAAATAGTTTGTTTTTGTTTTTTACATCGGAGTTAGGAATAGCGCTCACAGAATGGTGAAAATCTGTCCTGCGTTCAGGTCCACATTGTTGAGCTGGGCGATGAACACTGCCGCCACGCACTGGAAGATGGCTGCCCCATCCATGTTCACGGTGGCCCCAATGGGAAGGATGAACCTGCTGATCCGCTTGTCCACGCCGTTGTTCTCTTCGATGCACTTCATCATAGACGGAAGGGTTGCCGAGCTGGAGATGAGATGTAAAACAACCAGGCGTGAAAAACGGTCCTTCCCAGCCAGGGCCTGCCGTGAGCAACACCCAGTGAAGCAGAAATATTAAAGCTACACAAGTTTAGGGATGTCCCATATTTACTGAGAGAGAAATCACTTACGTGAAAAGCCATGAAAGCTGGGAACCAACGCTGCTCTCCAGGTCAGAAACCGAAACCCAAAGAGAAAGAGTCCCCTTCCCCTAGCTCTATTTACCACCATTCGTTCTACATACCCGTGAACACACCCACACGGGAGTGGTCAGCGCTTACGGATACGTAAAATCGCTCCCTACATCCTAGCAAGTTTCTGGCTCTCTTCCCTTGAAATAAGGAGGATAGCGGGCTTCTTCCAAAGTTTCCCAGTGTAACACAAGGCTTTATGGAGCCGCAAAGGATTCAGACATGACTTCCAGGATCCACTTATTCCACGATTCATGTGGATTCAACCAAGAGCCGTATCTTGCCTCAGTACAAAATGTCCCAGGAGAGCCAAGCTCTCCTGGCTCTGTGCCCATATGGTTCTGAGTAGCCAAGGTATCCCAAGCCCACTCACCTGGAACACGTAGCAAAGGCCGTTGTGAATGGCGTGAGGAGGCCCAGGAGGAATTTGAATGGGTTTTTTCGTGTAAAAGCAAAATAGACAAGAGGCAGGACAATCCCTCCGTGAATGACATGGCCTAAGATAGATGCGAAGATGTATTTCCCAAGGCCGGTCACAAGCGTGACGATATCCTTCATTTCCACAATCTTGCTTCCAATCAGGAAGGTGATGCCTATGGGTACGTACCTAGGTCATAAGCACAGACATTCATCAGGGAGGGGCTGGGTTATTTTCATCTCTGCATAGAGTTACTTTAAGAACAGAAAAAACCTATGGGCTGACTTTTTTTTTTAATAAGTAGGTTGTATGACTGAATGAAATGGAGATGGTCACTCAGCGGGTGAGTGCACTCATCACGTAGACTGTTTTCCTCCACACACACACACTGTCTTTCAGTGTTACACACACACACACACACACACACACACACACACACACACACACACAGTCTTTCAGTTTTCCCCTTCCCCTTTCGGCCCTTTCAGACAAGGTCTCACTGCACTGTCTGGGCTAGCCTGGAGCTTGACACCCTCCCGCCCCCACGAGCTGAGTTCACAGGCATGTGCCATTACAGCCGGCTCTACATAGGTTCCTGACCAATGGATGGCTACCAGCTACAGGGCAAATTAAAGGCCTTGAGACCGCAGATGACTTTCGGCTCTGCGCAGACCTGCCCTGGGAACTCAGAAAGACAAGAATTTCACAGAACTGCTGTGATACAAAATGGAACATAGCCCAGGGCTTCTGTGAGGCTTCACATTCTTTTTGGTTTTGAAGACATGATTCCGTGGGAAAAAGTCATTAACAATGATGTTCTGGGAACACTGCCAGATTGCGATTTTTTTTTTTGTGAGAAAAGGAATAAATTCTCGAAACTATAAAGAACAAAAGTCAGTTCTATAAATTTAATATCAATTCAGTACTAATCCTACAACTGTTTTAATCTATAAATTTTAATTTGTACTTAATAATGCCTCCCAGATTTCGAGGGGCACAGAACGGTGAGAGGTGTGACGTCTCTCACATCAGCCCCTGGGCACCAGGGGAGGGTGGCAGTGACTGGCTGCTTGAGTTTTCTTTCTACAGACATTCTAACAGTGTTGGGGATTTTAGGTCTCATCTTCGAGAAGAATGCTTCCCCTCGTGAGGGACCAGAACCATCCTCAAGTCAGCTACCTCCTCAGACAAGCACTCCACCTTCCTGTGTCCCTAGATGGGCAGGAATGCATTTAAATGTGAATTTACTTATGTACACTCCACAGTATGTTAACAAGGTATTTTCCTATCAGTATTTAGAAAGCTCCCTTTTCTTGTGATGAAATACACACCCAAATTAGCATTTAAGCCACCTTTATGAGTAGAGTTGATCACCACAAAGTACATTGGAATTGTGGGGCAGCCATCACCACCATTCAGACCAAGACTGCTTCCATCATTCAAGAGTGAAGCTCGGTTCTCAAGGAACTGCGGCTCCCACGCCCTCCACCCCAACCAGCCTGTGGCACACAAAAGCAGAACACACATTTTGTTCTTCTGGGACCTGTTTCATTAGACTAATGCCTTTAAGGCTCCTCCATGTTGTAGTGTATGTCAGAATATCATTTATGTAACACTCCATTTTGTTTATCTACCTGCCTGCTACCGATAAACATTCGGGTTGTTTCTGACCTTCGCCACACTTTTTTCTTTTTCAAAGGAGGGTTTGAGACAGGGTTACACAGGCAGCCACGGCTGTCCTTCAACTCCCGATCCCCTTCCCTCTACCTGTCACAGGCTGGGATTTCAGGCATCAGAGCTCATGGCCTTGCTTTTAGGATTCCCTCAGAACGGAAGCGTCTTGTTTTCTTCCAAGGATTTCATCTTTGAAAACACACCCGTCGGTGCCCATGTGCCTGCGTTCTCTAAGTCAAGACATCTGGGGGGGGGGCTCTGCTGACGCGGAAGTGTGCACATTTTAAACATTAGTAAATGGTGCTGAATTGTTCTCTGAAGTGTCTGTGTCAAAGACGGTTTCATTGTCATGACTTTTGAAGGCAGGCCCTTGAGGTCAAAAGTGCCTATTCTCACTCTCATCAATTCCTGACAAAGCCAACTCGCTATTACTTGATTTGAGCAGGGGTAGGCTCCCCTTAGGATGTGTCGTGAGCACACCTTTCCCGTGTGTGAACTGCCTGTTTGCACGGCTGCCCCTTCTCTCACAGTTTAAACACACTGTTCTCAGTAGTGGGAAAGCAGGTCTGCCAGTACCTGGGAGATTCAGACATGGGGATCGGGAGTTCTAGATCATCCTTGGCTGCACGGCAAGTTTGAGGCCAGCCTGGGCTACATGAGACCCTACCTCAAAAAACCAAACCACAGTTCTCCCCGCAGAACGAGAGTCAAGCGAAGTGGCGTGTTTACTGTGAGACTGGACTATGTGATTTTTACACTGGGCAGGAGAAACACCACTGATCCTGTCTGGGTTTGTTTCAGCTTCAAATGTCTGTCAGTCTTAAATTTCTCCTAAAACCAGCTCAGTTGGGACCTTAGTCATCAGAGAGAGAGAAAGAGAGACAAAGAGAGAGAGAGAGAGAGAGAGAGAGAGAGAGAGAGAGAGAGAGAGAGAGAGAGAGAGAGAGAGAGAGAGAGAGAGAGAGAGAGAGAGAGAGAGAGAGAGAAGAGAAGAGAAAAGTGCCGGGGATTATACTGTCGACAATAAGAAATATTGTTTATGTGAAAGCATAAACTAGTTTTTAACAACTAATGGATAGAGGCTAAAATCCAGAGGTCTGCTTAGGCCTGTGTTACCAGTTTTTAATGTCAACCTGACACAGTCTAGCTAAATCACTTGGGAGGAGGGAACATCAATTCAGAGTATGCCCCCACCTGACTGGCCTGTGGTATAGTATAATTTTAGATGGAAGAGTGACAGGGGAGGTCCCAGCTGACTTTGGGCAGGGCCACCACCCCAGGACAGGTGGTCCTGGATTCTAAAGGAAAGTAGCCTAAGCAAGCCACGGGGACAAGCCAGTCAGCAGCGCTGTCCATGACCTCTGCCTTAGCTCCTGCCCCCAGGTTCCCGCACTGCTTGAGTTCCTGCTGGGCCTTCCTTTCACATTGGGCTGGGATGTGAAACTGTAAGCCAAACAAACCTCTTCCTCCCCAAGCCGTTTATTTACGGCCGTGGTGTTTGAGGCAGGTGAAGTGCAGAAGAGCTTTGAAGACACTGGGGCTGGCCTGATTTCAGGGAAGTTGCTTTGAAGGAGAGGCTCAGATTATTATCCTCGAGCCAGGAATCAAGTAGGTGATTTTTTACTGAGCACTCCTCCTTCCGTTAATATGACACAGAGAAGTGCTCAGAAGTTAGAAGTTTTCATAAATGATCAATGCTGAGTTTTACCTAAGCAGGGAGAGATGAGTCTGTCCTCTTTGCTATAAAAGGTCACACTAACAAGTGTCCTCCAATCTTCACGTCTATCATTTGAAGATAAAAGAACCTCCTTTCGTGAGGCAGACTACAAACTGGACATGGCAAACATATGGGCCAACACGGGAACCCATACGTGGATGGTGGTGGCAGACAAGGACATCACACAGAAACTATGTGCACACCACTCCTCCAGGAGAGCCAGACAAGAGGAGAGATGACCGCCCTAGCATTAGTTTCTAAAATATCTAAATCATCATCATCATGACGGTGTGTGTGTGTGTGTGTGTGTTGAGAGAGAGAGAAGAGAGAGAGAGAGAGAGAGAGAGAGAGAGAGAGAGAGAGAGAGAGAGAGAGAGAGAGAGAGAGATGTTTTGGTACAGATGAAGGTTGGGAGACAACTCTGAGGTATCTATTTTCTCCTCCCACTGCGGGTTCCAAAGATCAAGCTCAGATTTTCTTAGCCAGTGAGCCATCTCATCGGTCCACCCATCACATCTTGTACCATGAGTGGCCTATGTTTCATCAACTACACACCGTGCATGAGGCCAGGTGTCACACAGGATAACCCGGATTACTGAAATCTTTCCTAGACTCGGTGGGACAGAGGGAGAGAGACGGCAGAGTGACACTCACCACATAATCCACGACACCAGCACCATCGTCGCCTCATTGAAGGAATTGAAGAACCGGATGAGCTCTTCTCCCTCGGGGCCTAGCTTCTTTAGAGCTACTCCCAATACCAGGGCAAAAAGGACCAGTCCTAAAATGTTCATTCCCTCAATATTGATGACAATGGGGACCTGGAGACCAGAAGAGAGACTCACGTTCAGCTTTAGAGTGGATCTGCTTGGTGTCTGAAGCGCTATGTGTAGAATAATCAAACACTCATATTTCCTTTAACCTTTAGTGAGTCAGAAACAAAGGCGTGGAAAACGAGATATAGTTGGAGGATAAATGAAGTCAACCAGTAGAAATCTTACCTACTAGCCAGGAATGAAAGCACACGCCTGTAATCACAGTACTCAGGAGACAGGAGTTTTGAGGCTAGCCTGGGCTACAAAGTAAAATCTTGTCTCAAAAAACAAAATAAGCCAGGTGGTGGTGGCTCATGCCTTTAATCCCAGCACTAGGGAGGCAGAGGCAGGGAGATCTCTGTGAGTTGGAGGCCAGCCTGGTCTACAGAGCGAGTGCTAGGACAGCCTCCAAAGCTACACAGAGAAACCCTGCCTCGAGAAACCAAAAATCAAACCAAAATAAACCCACCCACCAACCAACCACCTAAACAAACAAAATTCCAGTAACAACAAACCCCCAAACAAATGGGGGAAAAAAAAGCAAAGCAAAACAAAACAAAAAACCAAAACCTGGCTGTTAGACAGTTCCTCCAGAGACCCAAGGTCTGTCAGTGTCGTCTCCTGGTTGTCAGTCTGCTGTGTGGCTCTCACACTGACATCCTAGCTAATGAGTCTCGTGAGATTTTCAGGGTTCACATGGGCTTTTCCCAAAGGATGTTTGCTTAATCACTCACTACAATGGAGATGTGTAGGCAAGACACAGTACAGACAAGGAATGCACAGTAAAGGAAGACTTTTTTTTTTACTTTGTGACACAGGGTCTCATTGTTTAGCCAGTGCAGGCCTGGAATCCACAATTTTATTACCTCTGCCTCTCAAGGGATGGGACCATCAGTCTTATTATTATTTTAATGGATATCGACTTATTGATCATCCTGGAGTACGTTCTTAGAATGTTATTGTGATCCCCATAGATTTCTGGGTACTGCTGTTCTATCCTGGACTTGGCCCATTAAAGAAGAAATAAGGCTGAGAGCTATAGGAAAAAATGTGAACAGCAGTGCCATCTCTGTGGCCAGCTTCGGTGGACTGTGGAGACGCCAACACTACCAGGACCTGGGGGCTGCCTGGCAAGCACCTGGTACTGACTGGAGAGTACCAGCTCACTCATTTGTCCATGCCCAGAGCCTTAGCCAGGACTGAGGCTCAAGAATCACTGGAACCAGGGACTTCGTCTGCTGTGAAATGTTGGTTTCAGAACTGTCTGTAAGTCCAAGGTGTGGTATTGGAGATCAGGTCATTCCAGATAAAGAACGGACTTTCTGGCTTGGAGCAACCGATGAGCTGAGCCTTTCCCGTGGAGGAGGCTTGTGGCGAGTGAATGTGAAGTGTGCAGCGATGTAAGTCACCTTAGTGAATCTGGCTTTGACAGGTTAGGAAAGCCCAGACACAGTCAGCCACAGCCAGGCTGCTCCCCAAGCAGCGTTATGGCTTTGCATACTCTGTTCCCGCCACCTGAACCACTCTCTCCAGTGTCTTCTGTCTACCCCTTTAGCTTACGGAAAGGACTCCCGCTCCCAAGGCTAAGCTGCCACCACCATCTAGCACATACATGTACTTCCTCTGCCTGTTTGCGTGTTCTGTTCCTTCCTTCCTTCCTTCCTTCCTTCCTTCCTTCCTTCCTTCCTTTTCCTAAGTGGTGGATGAATTTGTTCTATGTTCCCCTTCACGAGAATGAGTTCTGCAACGGTCGGGCTTTGTCTAGGGTGAGCACCGCCTCTGACACCCAGTGGCTGCCAAATGTCACCGTTCACTGAATTCATGATTTATGAAAAGGACAGGTTTGTACCCATGGCAAGTTATCACAGGAGATGAAAGGCAGAGAGCCACAGGAGAGGGCTGGGGCCTTCTGTGTGTCCTCAGGCTCCTGGGTTCCGGGTTAATTCTGCCAGCAGCGTCCCACCCTTGGGGAACAAGGATGACTCTATTCTAGTCTTTAAAAAAGAAGCCTGTAACTGGCAAGGCCACACTGCTTCCCTGTTAAAGAGCTGCCATTCTTGAATTTACCACGTGAACAGGGGGACATCAGCAGGGGATACTGTGGTCACTAGCACCTCCATGGCAGAAATCAGAGCAGCCAGGGAAGCATGTTTGACAAAACTTGAAGGTGATACGGAGAGAGGTGGTGTCCTATGTCACCTGTGTCACTCAAGGCTCACGCAGTCCCAACGGGTCTAAGGATAGCATTTCAAGCCCTTTATGTGGGGATCAGGCTGTCCCGAGGTTCAGCTACCACGTCAAGGGAGAATGTTGGCTCTGGTGTTTTGTGACAGGATCTCACTATGTAGCCCTGACTGCCCTAGAACTCAGCTGTAGGCCAGGTTGGCCTCAAACTCACAGAGATGTGCCTGCCTCTGTCTTGCAAATGTTGAATTAAAAGTGTGCAACCACTACACCTGACTTGACTGTTTTATGTACGCAAAGAACTTGAATCTTCCAAAGACACCAGGTAGACGTAAAGTCAAGAAAAACTACTTTGTTTGAACTTTACGAAGTGTCATTTACCATTTTAGAAAGGTGCTTGGCTGGCATCACACACCAACCTGCAGATGCAGCTGTAGCACTCTGGGCTACTATATACAGGACGGATATGAAAGTATTTACTTAGCACTTTTTTTTAAAGTGCGCAAAAAAGTACTACCGATATTAGGCTGATTTCTGCCTTACTGTTTTTATTTATTACTTTTGTTACTCTGAGACGGGCACCTGAACTACGCAGCCCAGGCTGACTGACACTCCCGTCCCAGCCCCTTAGTTAGTGAGGGCTGAGACCTTAGGACCTACAGCAGACAAACTTTATTGTATTTATAGCGATGGGGTTTCACTATGTTGCCCTAGCCGGCCTGCACCATGGGGCCACTCGATCCTCTTGCCCAGTTCCTCAGGTAGCTGCAACTGCCGGCACAAGCCACCATGTTTATTACTATTATCATTATTACTTACTTTTATTTTGAGACAGAATCTTCATGTATAGCTTAGGTATCCTGGAGCTGACACTGATTCTCATGTGCTGGGATTACAATAGAGCCCTATCAGTACCGGGCCTCACTGTTTTTTAAATCCAAGCTCATTAATTCCAAATAGATGAAAATATACAAAAACTTGGTTATATCTTCTATGATTGTCCATTTATATGGTAAAATATCGATTGGGTTATTATGTTATTTAAATTTTTTTATTATTTCATTCTATATTCCAACCACGGTCTTCCCTCCCACCCCTCCTCCTACCCCACCTTGTCTCTCCTCCAGCCTACCCCCCCAACTCCTCCCAAAGGGCAAGGCCTCCCATGGGAAGTCAACAAAGTCTGGCACATCAAGTTGAGGCAGGACCGAGCCCCTCCCCCCTGCATTAGGGCTGAGCATGGCATCCCACTGTAGGGAATGGGCTCCAACGAGCCAGCTCATGCTCCAGGGATAGATCCTGGTCCCACTGCCAGGGACCCCTCAGATATTATGTTATTTTTATTTCCCCCTTAATCATGTTAGTTAGTTTTGTTTTTCTCCTCCAAGTTCTGAGCGAATGCTGTCACCTTTCCATTGCATTAGGAGAGAAGGGTACTATGAAATAGCTTACAGATCCCTGAAGATTCCCGTGCTCCAGACTCTGGCATTTGGCCATGGTGGTAAGGAGCAAACCTCACCTGGAGGTTTTAAATTCCATTCAGAAGCCCCAGTTTCCAACCCCTGTAAGTAAAAGGCACATTGCGGACATCCTTCATTGAGGAAGCTGGTTTGTTTCCCACACACTTTTGTGATCATCTGGGGAGTCTTACCTTCTCGTAGGTCACGTTCCCCAAGCTGGTGTTATGGGCCACCACCGTGTAGTTGGTTGCAGACTGACAAAGAGGAAGAGAACCCACCATCAGTGAGCACGTCTAAGGAGCCACCCAGAGGCACTGAAGGCACGGTGAGGTCTCATTCTACTGCTGCTACTCAGTGAGCGTGCCGGGCAGGCTACACTTGGCTGGCCTGGTACTGACCTCTGACACCTGCATTAACACCAAGGCAGCAAGCCTTTCAAGAAGCTTTGGAGTTATTTATGGAACCCAAGGAAAGAGAATTTCCATCTGTTCATTGGGCAATAGGCTAAAGAGGATGTACACAATTTCCTGCTGCCAGTTTGGTGCTCCAATGGCTCCTGCTTCAGATTATTTGAAGAAGCTTGGCACAAATTCCAGAAAGCCAAAGTCCATCATGGTTTTCCCCTCATTCATTTATTTATGCGCCACTGTGTTCCAGAATGACTCGAGTCTGGCTGCTCTTTGGCACCTGTTTCTAACCTGGCTTGATCTGTCATCTCCAGAGGAAGGGATACAAGGCAAAGCAATGTCTGCTGGCCAAGTCTCCCGGGACTCGGTCCTACTGTTGGTTGACGAGACAAATCTTTGCACGGTGTGCACTGCGTCTCTGTCCCTGATACTGAGTGGGCTCTGCTGGAGCCCATTCTTCAGGGGAGCCACTGGGGCCATGTGGTCCCAGAACTGTCAAGATGTCCCCACGGTGCAGGCACGAGTGCCCGCCCGTGCCCATGCTTCACGAGCTTTGGCTTCTCTCAACGTTATCGAAGGCAGATGCATTCAGCTGTCCCATGATTGGGGTGGCAGGGAAGCCAACCCCATCCCACCCCTTTTGTGACATGCACCAAAAGCTCTGTGCTTTTATTTTTCTCCCTACCTCATATTATATATTTAAGTCATGCCTGTGCTTACATTCAGGTTAAAAGATGCAGAACGGGTAGTTTTCTTTGTGAAAAAAAAAAAGGCAAAACAAAAACTGCTGTAATAAAGTTTTTTTTTCTCATAAAAAGCAATCAGATCAAAATGCCTAGACCTACCCACTCATTTTCTGCTCGAAGAAGGGCTACAGGTGCTTCTTTCCCACATTGTTTAAAAAAAGGGGACATCTATAAACAACCTGAAAATCCATCAACAGGGCCAGTTGGAAGAAAAGTCTGTTACGTTCTTATGGCCACCAACTTCTAACTGAGAGGAAATCTACCCACACGGAAAAATGTTTGGAAAATGCTGCCACAGGAAAAGCAGGTCAGAATGCATATCCATATATGTATTCATGGGAGCAATGCATTTGCATAACTATGTTTAAAAACTGCATTCCCGGGGCCAGAGAAATATCTAGAGCTGCTCTTCCAGAGGAGCCAGATGGCAGCTTGCAATGTCTGTAACTCCAAGGGATCCAACGCCCTCTCCTGGCCCTCAGAGGGCACCAGGCATGCAGAACCCTCATGCACACAGCATAAAGTAAATAAATACTGTCTATACACTTAGAGGGAAAAAAAAACACACCTGAATGCCATTCTATGTAGTTACTGTGGGAAGATTTTCCCCCACTTCTTTTTTGTTTGTTTTGTTTTTGGAATATGTACATCAGTACAAAAATATTATTTCTAAAAATTCTACAATGTTTAGGACAGTCTCCAAACAACATTTTTAGGGCATTTTCTAAATGCTGTAGAAAGATTTGAGCCCCTTTCTATATTTTAGGGTTTTGTCATAGTTTTTTTTAAATTTTGTTCCAAGTATCCATCTATAAAAACTGGCCCTCATGTTTGCTTATAACAAGACCCCTCTGGATTGCCCTGGAATGTCTATGAAGAGGCTCCTCTGGCCTCCCTGCTTATCTTCACGGCACCCCCATCTCTCTTACTCCCACTGCTAATGAAGTCCTCTCCGGGTTTCCCAGGGAGGCCTCTCCTCCCTTCATGGCCACACTTTTGATGCTAACATATCATGTGCCTTTTTTTTTCTCTCTCTCTCTCTCTCCTCCCCACTTCTCCTAACCAACCTCACTCCCGAAGGGTTTGGGGATGGACTACACTAGGACCTGTCCTTACTCCACGTTACCAAACCGTGGGGGCATTCATTTATATAGTTCTCCAATCAAAGTTTCATGTATCTGACAAAGCATCAAACCTTACCGTAGAGAACGCTGCAACCACAAGATTGGAAGGAAACAGGTTTCTGTTGAAAAAGAAAGCATTTGTCAGAGTTGTACATTTGTTTTGGTTTGTTGTTTGTTTTTGTGTTTTGTTTAGTACTGAGGCTTGATAATCAGGGCCTCTGCGTATAATAGCTAAGTGTCCTACCATTGAGATACACCCCAACTCATTCTTTAAAAATGTATAGTGTCTCACATAGCCAGGACAGCCTTGAACTCACTGTGGAGCAGAGATGGTGTTGGACTTCTGTGCACCACAAGCTCTAGTTTTTGTTGTTTTAAGGTTTACTTTTACTCTGGGTGGTGGTGGTGGCAGAAGCCACAGCGGCACACGCCTTTAGTCCCAGCATTCAGGAGGCAGAGGCAGGTGGATCTCTGTGAGTCCAAGGCCAGCCCGAGTGACTTCCAAGGACAGCCAGGGGCTACACACAAAAAAAAGAAGACTTGCTTTATTATTTAATACTGTGTGTCTGTGTGTTTTTGAGAGTACCTTCAGGCATGCGTGTATATGGTTAGGGACTCATGGCTCAAACAAGGGCGCGGGTTCCTGTGAAGCTCTAGTTAGCAGCTGAGTCATCCGATGTGGGCCTGGGAACTGAACACTAGTCCTCAGCAAAAGCAGCCAACACTCCTAACTGCTGAGCCATCTCTCCAGCCACAGGGATTTTTTTTTAATCTAATTTTGAAACGAAGTTTACTGTGTGGTCCAGGCTGACTTTAAACCCTCCTTCCTTCCTCGCCTCCGAAGTGCTGGAGTTACAGGTGTGTATCACCACACTTGCTCAAACAACGGATTTTGTTGTTGTTGCACTAACTGAGTTCCACTTACGGAAGTAGGAGATTCTGGAAGGGAGGGTACAAAGGTCCAGAAATTTGTCCTAGCAAGTACAACAAAATCCTCTATAATTAACTTTCTCAAAATCCTTAGTGCCCAGTGCTCAGCATGACAATAGTCTTATTTATAATTACCTGAGTCTGAACTAACTCCAACCAAGAGACTGTTTTTTCTTTTCCCAATTAGAACACACACTCAAATTTCCAGGAATATAACTACTATGTAAATTATGGGATAATGATTTGCTTTGTTTTGAAAGTTTCCAAGAATTATTCATCTTGCTAAGAAATTGCAGCACCAATGGCAAATTACAGGATACAAGTCCTTTCCTTAATGCTGAAACCCAAGCATCAGTCTGCATGTCTAGTTAGCAGTGACTCTAAATCAAATAGAAGGAACCAATCTCTGTTTTAGAGAATTTACACATCTTTTAAAGATTTGTTTACTCATTTGTATCTGTACATGCTCACTCGCATGTTTGTATGAATGTACACTGTGGTCATGCATGTGCTCACTCGGCATGTATGAATGTACACTGTGGTCATGCATGTGCTCACTTGGCATGTATGAATGTACACTGTGGTCATGCATCTGCTCACTCGTCATGCTTGTATGAATGTACATTGTGGTCATGCATCTGCTCACTCGGCATGGATGAATGTACACTGTGGTCATGCATGTGCTCACTCGGCATGTATGAATGTACACTGTGGTCATGCATCTGCTCACTGGTCATGCTTGTATGAATGTACATTGTGGTCATGCATGTGCTCACTCAGCATGTTTGTACGAATGTACACTGTGGTCATGCATGTTAACACCAGAGGCTGAAGTCAGGTGTCCCCCTCAATCATTCACCACCTTATTTTTGTAAGATAAGGCTTCCTGCTGAATCTGGAGCAGGTGAATCCCAGCAATCCTCTCTCTCCTCCTTCTCAGAGCTGGGGTTAAAGGCATATGTGGGGTGCCTGGTTTGTTCCATGGGTGCTGAGAATTGCATTTCAGTCCTCAGGATATGCAGCAATCACTTTACACACTGACCATCTCTCCAGCCCTGCATTTATATGGTGAACACATTTCTAGGTGGCTGGAGAGATGGCTTAGTGGTTAAGAGCACTAACTTCTCTTGCAGAGGGCCAGACTCTAATTCTCAGTGCCCACAAGGCAGTTCACAACTTTCTGTAACTCACAGTATGTTGTGCACAGATACAATGCAGGCAAAACACCAATACACATAAAATAAATATTTTTATTGTAGTTAGTTTCCTTTTATCTTTTTTTTAAATCAGTAAAGTGATTTTGATGTCTTGAAATATGTGTATAGGAATGGTTTTTATGTTTGGATGAAGGTTATAAAGCATTTGTTATTTTTTTTAAAGGCAGTAGGGGTTGGGGAATGGCTCAGTTAGCAAAGTACTTGTGGCTCAAGCATGAGGACCTGAATCACATCCCAGAGACCTACACAGAAGCCGGGGTTAGGTGGGGGTCCTGAGACTGGAGGAGCCAGGCATTGTAGCGCATGCCTTTGATCCCAGCACTTGAGGAGACGCAGGCAGGCGGATCTCTGTGAGTCTGAGGCTAGCCTGGTCTACAGGGCAAGTTTCAGGACAGCCAGGGCTACACTGAAGGACCCTGTCTCAAAATAAACAAGTAATCAAAAAAGTGGATCATGGCTGAGAAGGATGCCTGGCTTCGACAGCTGGTGTCCATGCCCGCGCATGCGCACGAACAGAATAAAAGAGTGAGCTTTCAAAACAAGCGAGTCCAAAATCTATTCAAGCAAATAAACTTTATTGATGTCTTCTTCTTCTTCTTTTAAAAGACATCTCACTATATAGACTAAGCTGGCCTTCAACTCACAGAGATCTGCCTGCTTCTGCCTCTCAAAGAGTACTGGGAATATCCTTTGTATAGTCAGGCTCTGTGTAGGAAGCTGGTTTTGATTTACAAGACTCTACATCCTGGCCATGACCTCCAGAGGTCGTCTGAAGGGAGAAAGGTTCAGGGTTATCACACATATCCCGGTGCTGGATTTTTCTACCAACTCTTGCTCCTGTGATGGTGTGAGTAGCATGGTTCCCAGGGACTCGAGAACTTGAATGCTTTAGTCCACAGGGAGTGCAACTATTAGAAGGTGTGGTCTGGTTGGAGTGGGCGTGGCCTTCTTGGAATAAGGGTGCCACTGTGGAGGAGGGCTTTGAGGTCTTTTTAATTAAATTAATTTTACATTCCAACCACAGTTTCCCCTCCCTTTCCCCCAACCCCCATCTGTGCCCTCCCCCCACAACCCACTCCTCCTCTGGGTATCAGCAAAGCATGGCATATCAAGTCACAGTAAACTAAACACCTCTCCATGTATCAAGGCTGAGCAAAGCAATCCAGTAGGAGGAATAGGGTCCCAAAAGCCTGCCAAGGCTTTGAGATCTCACATGCTCAAGCTATGCCCAGTGAGGCACACAGTCTCCTTTTACTGTCTGCAGATCAAGAGACAGAACTCTCAGCTCCTTCTCTGGCTCCAAGTCTGATGGGAGATGCCATTCTGTAAATCTGTCTCTTATTGGTTGTTGAATAAAGCACTGTTGGCCAATAGGGAAGTAAGATAGGTGGGACTAGAAGTCGAGCAGGACTCTGGGAAAGAGCCACCATGTAGCCGCCATAGGGGTAAGAAGTCTGGACCCTATCTCGGGTAAGAGAAATACTTAGATTAACTATTATGGAGTAAATACTTAAGTCAGAGATAGGCAGTAAGAAACAAGCAAGGCCAACAGCTTCATAATTAATACAGCGTCCTGTGTGTTATTTGGGGACTGCAACTGTGGAAGAGTCTAGGCAGATGGCAGGGAAGACTGCTTGAATGCCAATTCTTCCTGCCATGATGATAATGGAGTAAACCTCTGAACTGTAAGCCAGTCCCAATTAAGTGTTTTCCTTTAGAAGATTTGCAGTGGCCATGGTGTCCCTTCACAGCAACAGAAGCCCTAAGATACTCCCCCGTAGTTGAGGTGAGAAGGTGAGTTAATTATCAACTTGGCAGAATCTAGGAGCTTGGGTGAGCTCCTTTGGTCATTCCTTTCAGGGATTATCTTAATTTGGCTAACTGGGGTGGGAAGAGACAGCCCAAAAGTGGGTAGAACCATTCCCTGGGCTTGGGTCCTGGATTAAAATAGAAAGAAAGCGAGCTTAACACACATGTTCACCATTCTGTTTCCTGATGTGGATGTAATGAGCCCCACCGCTTCAAGATCCTCCCATCTTGGGTGGACAGTCCCTTGAATTAATAGCCAAATAAACCCTGTCTCCTGTAAGTTGCTTTTGTTAGGGTATTTTATCACAGAAACAGGAAAAGAAACTAAGACAGGACGTTTAGCTAGCAAGAAAACACACAAACACACAAAATATACGGAGTTGGGTTGTGAGACAGGCAGGTATGGTGGCAATCCAGTGGTGGGCAACCTAAAGAGCCTGCTGATATTCAGTTTTGCGTAAATCCCCCTTCTTATGCGATGGGGCCGGTGACTTGCTTGCAATCGGTACAATGCTCCAAAAGTCGATGGGTCACTCCTGTCACAGTTTGGTTGCCCAGCACTGGAGCTTCTCATTTTGTTAGCCTGCTCTCCTGTCAGTCTGGGCTCACATACCTGGATAAAGAAAACAGCTATTCTGGAAAGGCCCACCTGATGAGGAACTGGGGGTGGCCTCCAGTCAATACCAAGTAGGAACCATGGCTCCAAGTCCAAACCTCAAAGAGCTAAATTCTGCCAAGAGCCTCCAAAGTAAGTCTCCCCTAGATGAGAGCCCAGCCCGGCTGATGCCTTGACTGCAGTCCTCTGACAGATGGACACTGAATGCCAGGACTCTTGCCTCCCAGATCTCCTTCAGTCTGGGGGCTGAAGCTGCTACCCTGCAACCATTTGTTACGTGGTACGAGACAGCTAACGCACAACCCAACGGTGTGAATGAGAGGAAAATCAAACCCGAAACGTCTTTAGAACTCTCACTGTGCTTCCAGAGGCCAGCCAGCATTTGCAGGCGCCGCACACCTGCTGGCCTACGAAACCCAAATTGCTTTCTGCGTCCTTAAGAGCAACCAGCAAGTACACACCTACATGGGAGCAGAAAAATGGCGACTCCAGGCTGAATTGTTGTTGAAAATTGTGATAAATTCTTATCACGGGCATGTTTTCTTTA